ATTTATAAAAATACCCGTGTACGTGTGGACATGGCCTAAGACTGTGTACAGCCATCAATGTTCACAAACCTGGTTTTGTTTGAACCATTTTTTTTATATTTCTCAGAAAGATGCTCAATTCCGTTTGCATTTTCAGTTCAACTGGCAAACTGTTCCAAAGCAGTGTGTCCCTTTAACTGAAAATGTGGATTGAGCAAATTTAGTTTTTCTCATGCAGTTCTGTGTAGTTACATCTCTTGTAGTGATGCCTCTACTACTCTGCAGTTTGATTTGTTTTTACATGCCAAACAGGGGTGGGTTAATCTGAAATAGCTGACACCACTATAACAGACGGCATCAGTCCTCAACATGCTAATACTCTTACACAGACTTTTTTTTAGACTTTTGACAAACAATTTGTGAACCTCAGCCCCACCAGCTTGTAGCCAGCTGATCAACCACAGGGTGACAATACATCCTCTTATTCCCGGACATGTCCTGGCTGGGATTTTAAAATAGCCTAAAATGTCCTGGAAAAGAGGACGTATGGTCACCTTAATCAACCATCTAGTACAGTTTAACCCCCTTTACTGACCATCAATGACCAATTAAAAAGCACACTGGTTTTAGCTGGATTTTCCAGCAGCACTTTACAGTTGTTCTCCTCACTTACTACACACTTGGCCATTGCATGATTTCTCTCTCTTTCTGGGTTTAGTTTACTGTGTATGTGTTTGTATGTAAGAGAACAGCTTTGGTGTGTATAACGGAGAGACAGCCAGTGTGTGACAGTGAGTGACAGCTTGTCTGTCTCGCCGATCTGGATGTGCTAGCAGTGTTAGCCTGTACCCATGGCTGACACACAAGCGCTCAGGCAACCGCTAACGTGTTAGCGACATGTGTCTGCCTGTAGCCGGCTACACGAAAGCAGCGTGTGAAGCTCAGCGTCTTTCCCCCCTGAGACCCACTGTGTCTCCTAAAAGACAAACTGGAGCATCTGAAGAGGGGGATCTCGAGGGAGAGAGGGATGGAGAGATCAGCGGAGAAAAGAGAGGGGAAGAGGCACTCGTTTCTGAGCCTGTGCGGGTTTAAGGTTCTGAAGTTGAGGTC